AAAGGTTTTGCACAGCCCTCCAGTCAAGCCAAGGGATTGTGCTGGATTCGAGTGTTGAGTGGGGTTTTGCAGCCTATTTTGGGCCGAGGTTGTGCTGTTCTTCAAAGCTGCACATGAGGCCAGAAGGGAGGTCCTGCTGGTTCCGTTAAACCCTGCAGGGCCAGAGAAGTCAAACTCAGTCAAAGCAGGTGTGAGGGCCCCCCCTTTCCTCTTGTTCCCAGGAGAAAGGCCCTAGGGGAGCTGGAAGCTATTACAGAGCCTGCTGAGGTGGTGACTGGGGCTTGGAATTAGCGCTGCCAATATCACTTTTTTGATCCCATGCTCAAAAACAGGCTGGGGGAGAATAATATTTATTACTCGGATGCCACCACGGCCAAGCTTCTGCCAGCTGGCAGCCAGCTAGTGCTCCATTGGCTTGGGAAGATTTCTAGGGATGAAGCTGCAAGGAATTGGCCCAGGGGCCTCCTGGGGTTGCTGCGGGCACGCAGTTTTCCTCCCCAGATCCCAAAGAGCTGCAGCTCTAGCTCTGGGGCAACCTGGCCACTGAGTCACAGCCCTGACGGGGTTGAGGGACAGAGCACTTGGTTTGGCTGCCCTGGGCTCACAAAACTCCCCCCTAGCAGGAACCTGCTCATCTGTGGCTTTAGTGGGCGTTATTTTTTCCCCCCTTTTGAGATACCTGTGGGTGAGTAGAAGCAGTTACAGCCCTGGCCTTGTCTTCAAACATCCTTGAAGCCCCAAGAAGCAGGACTGTCACCCCCCGCCACTGCCCAAGAGTCCTCTTTTAAGCCACCCTCATCATGGCACTGGGCTTCCCTGTGCTGGGGACAATCCCTGGCCCGTGCCCCCAGCCCCTGTCTGAACCCCCTGTAGGTGCTCTGAGATTTTTCACTGGTCCAAGAGGAGAGGACAATCTAGCTTTAAATGTCCCAGTTTCTTTATTAACCTGAGTATAACAAATATAACAAGTACACAGTATAAAAATGAACATAGAACATGACAGAGGTACAACACAGATACGGGACCTTTACAAGGACCTGTTCAATGACTGATGAGAAGATACTAAGTGCTCCATTGCTTGGCAGGAAAAAAGCAAGTTTTGATTGTAAAAATTGTGTCCTGTTCCACTAAAATTATACAAAGTACATTCAATACTGAAAAGTGACTCAACGGAGCAGGACCAGGACATGGTTATCTCAGCCCAGCACTGTACAAAAGAACCAAATCCAGGTGGTTCTCTGGGCTGCATTTTAAGACCATAACAATTAAGAAGTACAAATTGTGTCTGTGTGTCTCGGGGAAGGGCGTCCTCCTCTTCAAAGCCTGTGAAACTTGGCTTTCAGTAAAAACCACCAGGCTTGGGCGACATGCAGGCGGCGCTGCCCGGCCGGGCTCTACGCGGGCTCCGAGTTGATGGGCGGCAGGTTTTGGTGCTTGAAGTACTGCACGACTTGCTGGGGCAGCTCTGCCAGCACAGCCTTGGCCAGCGTTTCCTTGGGGGCCTGCAAGAGACACACGTGTGAGGACAGGCCATGGGCACCGCGGCTCGGCCACCTCTCAGGGAAGGCCACCACAAGGGGCCTCGTGGAGAGGATGAGCTGGGCGAGTGGCTCTTGGGCACTGCTCTCTCAGCTCCAAAGGTTGATGTTTCACTTGCCATTCCCTCCAGACACTACCGGGAGACACTGCGGACAGTGTCTGGCCACCTCGTGACATTCCAGATGCCACCTCACACTCACGTTGCGGAAATCCCTGAAGGGCACGAACTGCACGATGTCACGGGCAGCCTCCTCGCCGGTGTACGAGCGCAGCACACGGCTGTCCCCGTCCAGGAACTCCATGGCAGCGAAGTCGGCATTGCCCACCCCCACGATGATGATGGACATGGGCAGCTTGGACGCCTGCACCACAGCGTGTCTCGTCTCGTCCATGTCGCTGATGACCCCGTCTGTGATGATGAGGAGGATGAAGTATTGCTGTGGAAGAAGCAAAGGAGACTTGTAACACCTACTGGTTTCCTGAGGCTGGGATGAATGTTCACCTGGGACCTCAAATCCTTCCCATAGAAGGGTTGAGATTGGAAAGGGACCTCTGGAGAACATCCAGTCCAAACCGCCTGCACAAGCAGGAGCACATCCAGGAGGGTCTTGAAATTCTCCAGAGGAAACTCCACAATGTCTCTGAGCAAGCAGAGGGCTCTTCCTCCTATTTCCAGCAGTGGTCCCCGTGCACCCCCACCACACACTGCTGGGCGCGTGGCGCAGGCTGCCAGCGCTGCTGTCCCCCTCGCCGCCGTGCAGGGGCAGAGGACACAGGATGCTGCTGGGCCCAGCCAGCCAGATCTGCCGAGCCCAGCTCAGGACAGCGGTGACACGTGGCCACGAGGAAAGACCATCTCCTCCTCCATCTCCTCCTCTGCGGGCGAGCGCAGCGCTTTCATTTGGGCGCATTAGGCATCTCCTGTGTGCTGGCAAAATGACGACAAATAAGCCCTTAAGAGCATTAAAGCTCTTTGTTTCTCCCTTCATTCTTTCCATTCCCCAGCAAAACCACCGTCTCGGAAATCCTAGGAGCAGCACGAGATGGAAGGCAGCCCAAAGCTCATTTTCTTGTCTTATTTTCTCTCTCCAACCCACATCTTGTCTTCTGAAATCTTCCCTAGGTGTTTTCTCCCTTCCTTCCCTACTCCCTAGTGCAAAACCCCAAGTACAAATCGGGTTCCTTCACATTTACGAGGCTTCCTGAGGATGTGAAACATCACGGTGGCTGGAACGTATTGCTGTGCACAGCAGGGCTCCTTTCACGCACAGCGCTCGCGTGGCCAAGCCGAGCCTTTCTGAGTGTCCCGGGCCACCTCTCAAACCGGCCGGTGGCCCTTTGGCACAGGGCTCTCATTAAAGGCAAAGCTGCTGTGGGTGCTTTTGCTCACCCCTAAACCAGCTCCTGGTACCCGTGGGCTTATGGTGGCAAAGCGGGGTTAGACCTGCCGGCTGCCTTGGACAAGGGGCTCCTTCTGCTCTCAAGGGTGCAGACAAGCTGGTTTTGGCCACAACAGCTTTGAAATTGCATCTGGGCGCTCACGGAAAAATACGAGGTAAAAGAAGAGCTGAGAGCCTTTGTTTGGGACAGCTGGAGACACTGGGAGTGAGGGCCCAGATGCGCCGGAGCAGCCTGGCTCCGAGCGCCCGCCGCCGTCCTGCACCCGCAAGACACCCCATTGGAGCTGCTGCAACAAGCTCTTCGGGTCCTGCCGCCACAGCAGCTCCTCTCTGCAGTCCCCAGACGCTCGGCACACCACGAAGGCGGCGTCTCCATCTCCAGCGGCGCGGCCGGACTCATGGCTGCAGCTCCCCAGGGCCTCCCGGCATGTGGATCCGCACGTCACCGCTCGCATCCACCAGCCGCGTTGGCCCTTTCCACCACAGCTCTCTCCTCTTGCTCCAACACGCTGGCACTGCCGGTCTCACACCAGAGCGCAGCTGGAGGGAGCCTCTGTGCTAAGAAGCCGCTCCCTGACACACGGATGGAAACAGGCGGATGGACGCAGTAGCTGTGACTTCAAGGGCTGGAAGCGGCTGCTTGGGAACACCAATTCTGGCTCTAAAACCCCTTGGCTGTCCAAGCAGCGTGAAAAGACACTAGAAAATAGAGCCATCCGATGGCTTTCAGATTTTTACATTCCAGGAGGAAAACCAAAGGGATCTTCTCCAAGGAAAAGGCCCAAGTTCAATCATCAGCCACATTCCAGATGGTACGCTGGAAGCCACCGCACGCCCCAGGCCTGTTCAAGAGGCTTGTACTGCTTGGGGCAATGTTCTTGGTAAGAAAACAAATGGGGTTGCTTGCTCGTTTTTTCAAGGCTGGAAATATGCCACCAAGTCCTTCCAGGAGGGTCTCTTCAGAGGTCTTCATGGAAAGGGTGCTTTAACCAAGACGATCTTCCTCCAATTGCTTGTTGTGTATTGAAGTGAAGTTTAAAAGCACTCAAAGAGCCTCTTCCTAGTTTCCCATTCTTGTTACAGCAGGACTGTCACCATTCAAGTTCCCTCCTGGTCCCCAGGACAGTCAGTTAATGCTGCACCAAACAGAGGCAGGAGACCGATTTGAAAGCCAAAGGACCAGGCACTCCAGGACTATGACTTCCTCATTTAGCTTGTCTGATATCAAGTCATCTCCTGAGCTATCTTAAAGGTCTTGCCCATAAAAATTAGGGAGATTTGATCAACTTTTTCCTTTTGTTAACCATTCATGATTTCATACAGCATTTCTACTGTTGGGCCCTGGTTTACCTCATACAAAAGCTGCTCCATGACTCTGAACATGGTCAACTTAGTCGACTCTCTCACTGCCATTTCCAGGACTACTCGATCCTTTTTGAGGTGATGGGACCAGAATTTCGTATAGTGCTCGAGACATTTGGACAAACTCAAGGGAGATTCATCTCATGGCATTTCCTGCCTTGGTCTCAGTTCACTCTCCAGTGATTTGTGATTTTCAATAGCTGCAGTTTTGTTGCCTGTTGTTAAAATTTGGGTTTTTATTTTTATATATTTTTTTCCCCCACGAAGCATTTGCAATGACTCTGCATTCTCCATCTAAAGTGATGACAGCTAACCCAGAGCCCATGGCTGGCCTTTACAGACAGGGTAATTCTCTGCCAAGCGCTTCACAAACGTCAACATGGGGCAAAGGAAGAGCAGATGCATGTTGGCCACGAGGGACGAGGAGCTCTTCCCTCAATTGTTCACGGGCAGCTTTAATCTTAGCACCCTTCAATAGACGAGTGTCACTGGCCAGCTTTTGCCTGCTGAGCATTTTGTGTAGCTGGGAAAGGCAGTTTATCATCAAGGCTGCAGCCAGCACCAGACTTCAGACAGACAAAACCATGTGCCGTTCCGTTGGCTCTTCCTCCCACCTGGCAATTTGCTGTGTTTTTTTGCTAAATCCAAAGCAGCCGCTTTCTCCTACGATGAGCCAAGGCTGAGGCCGGCTCCATACCGTGCTGCCCGCACTGGTATTGCTACTCAAGCAGCTTTGGAATGTCACAGAAATGATGCTGGGTCCCTTTGCTTCCCCTGCACAGCAGGACTGGGGCCTCAGGGGATGCTGCTGGTGGAAGGACCCTCCTAGGCCTTGCCTTCCACTACTGAAATCCCTTGGGATGCCATCGTGCTGTCAAATCTGCAGAAAATTGGGACACCGGGGGTTTACTCGGAGGCTGGAGTGGCATCGCGCTTTTGGAGCTGGAGCCTGTGAGACATTGCTGGGGCTTGAGGCAAGTTCCTGCTAATGCCAATAAGGAGGCCCAAGTGCCCAGGGCCTGCAGGCCAAGTGTCCCCATGTGCTGCTCTGCCTTGGTCTCAGCCCTGCCTCCAGGCGAGGGACCAAAGAGACACCAACAGCCTTGCTAGCCCTGCGTAATCCTGAGGCATCCCCAGAGCCCCAAAGCAACACGAGATATGGGGCCCTTCCTGACAACTGCAAACGCCAACCCCAGCCTCCTCCCACCCCAGGTTTGCGCCCTTGTCCCTCCTGAGGGGAAGGCGGGGGAGCAGAGCCACCCGTGACGATTTAACCACCCGACAACGCAGGCAACGTCTCACTCTGCCCGTTCCCAGCAAGGTCCAGCTACCTGGTCCATCTCCTGGGGTGACCGGGGGGGATTAAAATTCTCTAGTGGGTCTTCTCCACCTGGCCCTTTTGCCACCTCCCATCCTCAAGCGGGGACCCAGATGCTGAACGCGGCCAACTCGCCACGACCTGCTGAGCCACAGCAGTGACACCGCGAAACAGTCGGACTTACAGTCGCAAACTCCTGCTGGGTTGCCTGAGCTGCGAACCGGGCCACATGGTTGACGATGGGAGAGAAGTTGGTGGGTCCGTAGAAGCGGATGTGAGGCAGGCAGGCTGAGTACGCTTGGACAATGCCCTCAACACCTTCAGGGAAACCAGAGAGGCCAAACGTTACAATATGCTACATCCCAGCCAGCCACAAGTACAAGGCCATGTTGCAAACACTATTCACTCATAAATCCCTGTGGTCTGAAGTTACAAAACCTATTTTTCCCCAAATTCTTCCAGCTCAAGTTTCATCCAGCAGCAGTCAACTTTTAGAAAAAGCTTTGCTCGTCTGTCGCTTTGCAGGAGTTTCTCAGACCTTCTCAGTAAGAGAAGCCTCCTGGCACTCACCCTCAAAGAAAGTTTTCCTTGTGTTTTTGCAAAAAGCTCCAAACTAGACAAAGAAGAGCAAGAAGAAGAAGACTTGGGTCACTGAGTGCAACCAAAAGCCAGATAGACCCAAAGCAAATAAGGTAGCAGACAGCACCAGAAACAAAGACAGTGTTTGGAAAGCCCTGCTCTGACCTGCAAGGCCCCAGATCTTCTGCTTCTGTCACAGCACAGACCTGTCCAGGAAGGTGTTTCTGCCAGCTGGTTGGCCAGGACTGTCCTTTCCAGCTCACACGAGGCAGAAAAATAAGCCACCCTTAACACAGTTCTGCTCTGAACTCTTTGCTAACTAGAGGATCAGGATTAATCTCTTAAAACGTACAGTTTACGGCTGCACCAATGCTGCAACCCGTTTCTAAGATCCTTCTGCTCTTGCATCAAACTGCAAACCTTCACCATGGGGCTTGTTTAACTCTGAAGTTCCCTCTTTTTTTATTAGGGCAACCACAGTTATTTGAGAACCGCTTAAATCCCCTGGCTTCAATTTGCACCATAAAGACACACAAAAGGAAACGAAGAGGACATTGCCCTCAGAGGCCAAGGGGACTGCATTACCTTGAGGGCCAAACGAGATTCTGCTTTGCAACCTCTTCCTCATGGGGACTTGGGACAGGCCAATTTCCAGGTGGTGACTCATCATGCCAGAGCACTGCTGTGAGCTTTCTCCATCACTTCCACTGCTTTTACAGCCCCAACCCCACAACCACTTGGATGCAAGGAGCATCTGAGCTGCATTTTGCAGGGTAAGACCATACAGGGCTCCTGCCTGCGCGAAAGCCCTGGGTGCTACCAAGCCAAATCACTTCTCCCTTCTGTGCCTCGGTTTCCTGGGCGTCAAAAGAAAATGTGGGGTAAAGAGCTCATCTTTACACTCCATGTGTGTAACTCACAATTAATCAGCGGATAATCAATTCTTTGGGGAGGAACGGGCACTAATAGACCCATACAGCACTTAAGACTGTAGCTCCCGTCCTCTACAACAAATGCCATAAATAAAGGGGCAGGCAGCATGCTCTGTAACTACCAGAAGGGAGCTTAATGAAGGAAACAGAGCAGAAAAAACAGCGTTTCATAGCAAGCTTTCATAAACTAGCGAGTAGGGGATAAGGGCTGGAGGCCGACCAAGCTCCAGCCTTGCTGGCATAAACCATAGGTCAAGCAGGACAGTCCTGCAGCCCAGGGCAGCCCCTACCATTTTGGATTTGAGCAGTTCTTCAAGAATCCCCACGATGAGGTTTCAATTCCTAAATAAACCAGAGAAGCACTAGGAGGCAGGTAACTGAATTCTCCATCTGGTCCTTTCTCACTGGCTTCTGTAGGAGCAGACGGCCGATGGGACGCACCAGAACACACGCGGACTTCGGGCTGTCTGAATCCAGTTTCGTTTTAGGCTGGGACCTCCTACACTACCCCAGATTTCTTTCGCTCCAACCAAACCTTTGAGAAATCTCTGAGACGAGGTAGAGATGAAGCACGAAGAGGAGAAGACACTGCAAGCGTGTAAGGTGGGGACTCACCTGAACAGAATGGGTTGGTCGGATTGAAGTTAATGGCAAACTCATGGGATACCTGGGGAGAAGAAAAGGCTTTGGTTAACACGGAAGGCTCCTGCAGAGTTGGATGCTTCTCACAGTTTAGCTTAGATGCTGGGTCTGGCCCTCAGCCATCATATGATAGAGGACCCAGTCTGGCAGCATCCTGACTCCTCATCTCTTGCAAAGGGTCCTGTGCAGTGCAAGGGAAAAAGGGAGGAAGATCTCCCTCGCTGCAACTTGTTGCAGCAGCCCAGCCACCGAGAAACCAAACATCCATGCCAATCCCTTCTCAGAAATAACATGAGCTTCAAAACTCCAAATCCCACTGGCTTTCAACCTATCTATGGTACCAGAATGAGTCCAATAGCTCAGGTGCAAGAGAGAGGTCGGGACAGTTGGATTTTAATCCGAATCTTGCCTGTTGTGGTGAGGGTGAACAATTTATTTGGAGAACAAGCAGCAAGGCCCCATAGCCCCTCTTCCATTTTGTTCATGCCAGCATTTGGCAACAGGGCCATGTCCCCCCTCTCCCAAGGGTGGTGGTTTGCTGAGATTCTCAGCCAGGAGACGCCTGTTGGTGCAGCCAGCAGAACCCACGTCTTCCCCGCGGCCACGAGCGCGGCCTGCGTCCGACTCAGACTTCCTGTCCCTGACGGGCGTCGTCTCAAAAGCCACATAAACTATCCTTGTGAGTCCACAGCAGCAACCCGCAAAAGTAGGTCAAACTAAACCTCTTCCCGTGCTGCAAAGCTGATTAGCCTTTGCATGGGCCAACTAGCAGCTACCCTGCTTGGGTATCTTCATACCAGCTGAGCACAACCAATAACGCTCCCGTTCCTGGCAGTAAGTACCCACCTGGCCGGAGCTGCTACCAGGGCCTTCAGCTCACGGACTTCCTGAGCTCGGCTCGGGGCCTTTTCTATCCTGTAGCTTGTCAAGGATTCCTCCTCTATGGATGCAGCTCGTCAGATTGAATGCCCAACGTGAGCAGAAAGAACCATGCTGGGCTTCGTATCGTGGCCCGTCTTGGAAAATCCCAGCCCTGATTTCACCGTGGCTCACCCCAGGAGGAGGAAGAGGTTCAGGTGAGGCCCTGGCATGTCCAGCTAGCTGTGCAGAGCAATGCTGGGCTACAAAGGGGCTTCTCTTTCTTTCAAGCAGCACTCAATTGATTTGGAGCTGTTTTCCTCACTTGTGGCAGCACTAGCTGAAGAGCAGACCCGCCCCCCGCCCCGGGGCATAAATCTTTCAAAACCTCCTCTGGTGTTTTCACAGATTTTATTTATACATATATATCTATATGTGTGTATATATATAAATGGATATATGGTTATATCTGCTTGAAAATTCATCAGGAGGCCCTCAAATTAAAAAGAAATCAATCTCAATCCCTACTCAGTGCCAGAGTTTGTAAAGCAGTTGCTGGGGAGTCGATTAAATGTGTATATAGCAGCTATGGGTTTCACATTCCCCACTGCCCCCAAGGGAGAAGCTCTGGAGCAGCCGCCAT